GTGTCGACACTCGTACAGAAGGCTCGATCGGTATTTACCAACTTGAGACATCTGTGGCCCCGCCGCGACGTCCGGCTCTCTGGGAAGGTTCTGGTATGTGCTGCAGTATTTGAGCCAGTCCTGCTGTACAAGGCAGAGACTTGGCCACTACTGGAACAGGATAAAAATAAATTGTCGGTGTTTGAACACTGGTGTTTGCACGACTCTGGTGGAGAAACTGGACAAACAATACGGAGGTGAGGCGCAGAGTTTTAGGAAATCACCTCGTCCACTGGAATACGTGACCAAACTCCATAGACTACACTGATTGGGACGTGTTGCACATTTCACCAAATAGGTTGCCACGGCACGCGATGTTTGCTGCTGAAAGTAGTGAATAGAAAAAGGTCAACTGTGGTCAACCTAGGACCTGGCATGAAGGAATCGGAACCGGAACACTGAGTCCCCTTGGTTAATGGTTGTAAGAACTGAACTGAAAACTTGTTGTTGTTGGCATTTTCTCTGAGCTGGAAGCGTTGTTCGTAGACGTTTCGTAGCCAGGTTAGGCAGTATCATCACTACAGCTTTGGGGAAACGCCAGTCCTCATTGTTACCGCGCTTATATAGTTCTGTTCGCGGTCACATTGAGGAATAGCGAAGTTGCACGGATGATGTCTAGCCTGGCTACGGAATGTCTGCTAACCACACTTCCAGCTCGGAGAGCACCACCACCAACATCCGCATCCCGAGTGACAATTGTTTCACATTATTTCCACGGAAAATTTATTTCAATCACTTGGTAACTGATACCTCGAATTTTCCAAAATTTTTTCGTTAAAAAATGACTAGTGTTCGCTACTTTATCTCACTTTCCATCATTAATTTCTCCGATTAGAATATTGACGAACGAGATGTGTACGTCTGCGAGTCCCAATTCTCGATCAAGTCACAAACGTTCATCAAAATCCGGGTGAGTTGCTCACGTCTACTCGTTTACAAGGTAATATACATTTTTAACCATGATATCTGTCCCTTTCGCTCATTTTCTGTTTCAATCTTTATAATAATCACCCCAGAATTGGACTGCCCCAACACCGGTTGGCGTGGAACTTGAGCAGCGCCCGGTTCCTTTCGTACCAACTCGCCTGCCACCGAATGAACCGCTTGAGAACGCCCTGGAACAGGTGGATACCAGTTTGTATACCAGAATGAATTTCCCCATCCCGCGACCCAACCAAGTAAGTTTGCCGTTTGGATTGGCAATCTGTGTTATCCACTATCTTGAAACAGAAACGTTCATTTGATGGATTAGTTTTCTTGTTAACTGGTTGGCCATCTATAGCCACTTTCCAGCGTACCACTTATTTGCAGTCTGTGGTTCATTCGTTTTTTTTAATTTTGTCGTTACACTAAAAATAGTGTCGACTAAGCATCTGTGATTGATTTAACGTATACACACTTATATAGCACTTAGGTACAGGCACTGTGCCAACGCAAAAAAAAACACAATAAAGAGACGAATTTTAGTACAATGGATAGAGGAGATAACGGAAAATATTTGAAAAAGTTTGTTTTTTCCTCATTTTGTATTGTGTGCAGATTTCCCTCAGTATCGGGGTAATCAAATTATAGGTGGATCGAAATCCTCCTTGTGATTCAAATGCGCTCAAAGACACCACCCTTGCCCCTACAGGCTCTGGCAGCTCAGCTAAGAGGCCAAAGTGATCTTGTCTCAATGAATTTCATGGGAAACAAAGCAATAGATAGTGAACGAAACCAAAATTCCTCGGAAAAATCATGCATGTAGATAGATATTGTGTCTCAGACAGTGAACGTGATACGTCAGGAATAAATGAAACGTTGACACAATTAATGACTAGATCTGACCCACGATTACATATCCATGCCGGTTTAACATCGACGTTATCTCGACTGATGTATATATCCTGATGAAAAAGCAAATGTCCACAATAGAGTTAGTAAGCGAGACATTTGCCGATTCCTATGCCATCTGTAGGAGTATTATTTCCTAGAGAAAAGACAGATGGGAAAGATCGTTTTCCAATTGGGTACCTAACACTTCAGTGCACGGCATACTTCGCGGCAGCTCACATCGACGAAGGGGTTTTTCTTTGGGAACCCTAACCGGAGCCTTTGACTTAGAAGTCTGACCCACAAGGCAGTGGGGCGTAAATCCAACGCGAGAGCGTCAACGAGGCACCCATGTGGGAGCTTCTGGAGACTTGCCACGCAAGGCCTTAAAGTTTCGATTAATTGTGTTGTTCGCTGGTGCGTTGATTATCGGTCCGCTTTTCGGGATCGTCCCTTAGCCTCATGCACCCAATGAGACAAGCGGAACGTGGACGGGACAGCACCTTATTGGCATGGGGCTGCCCAGCTTGGGCGGGCGATAGCTGTCCAATGAAGCGCGAAGACTTCTCCCACCGTCGAGAGGAAGCCCCAGGTACCGCGCTCCTACGTCCATCTAACGGGATTTTTTAACCGGTAAACTGCCCCTCACTGTGTTTATTTGTTGGAGTGACCTCTCCAGGGGCGGATGTGAATGGAAGGAGGAAGCTAGGTGCTCAAGCAACTGGCTTGTGAGACTGAGCTTTGTCTGGCCTCTACCCGTTGACCTTTCAGGCATGGTTGGATCTACGACTGTGAGGAGCTATCCTGTATATCTCGCAGGGTCATGGAGGCACGCAAGCCATCACACTACGTCAAGGTGCAGTCTCGTCGTTCTGCTATACGGTGCAGAAACTTGGCCATTACGGGAACAGGATAAAANGGATAAAAACAGACTTTCGGCGTTTGAACACCGCTGTCTACGCAGCATTGCACGAATCTGGTGGGGCAGCCGGTCGAGTAATGCTGAGGTTAGGCGCAGAGTTTTGGATAACCGCGGTCGCCCATTGGAGCAAGTGGTTGACTTCTACAAATTACGTTGGTGGATGTTATGCATGTCACGAAATAGGTTGACACGGCGAGTGATGTTCGCCGAGGCAGGTGGTGATTGGAAAAAGCCAAGGGTGGTCAACCTAAGACGTGGCACGAGGATATGAAAACCCTAACCAGGGGACTGGGTTACACAGGTCCCGTTAGGCTCCCTGGATGGGGATCTCGGGATGGTCTTACCCGATGGTGAGAGACACTGAGTGATGTGGCTGGGTGTCGTAAACAGTGGCGTTCGTGCATCTCAATTTCTTTGCAACATTGGTCCACTGAAATTCTCAATTTTCTCTTCAATCCTACTTTCAACCTTCCTGTTTTCCTCCTAATTTTCACCCAAATGGGCAGCCAAAAGACAGCAACCGAAACCGCCGCACGAAAGTGCATAATAAATGATTGTGTAATCTGAATCCGACTGGGGAAAAGAATTCTTCGTTTGCAGTAGCTAGTGCCCAGAAATGATTGTTCTGGATTTTATCTCCAACTGTTTAAACCTTGTGTCTATAGTGTAACAGGAGAGCAATCTCCCTCGACCATTTCGTACCTTTGAAGTACAATTCTGTAATATTAAGCGCCATGTAGTTGTGTTACATCGTTTTAAGATCGATTGCTTTTTCCAAAATTTTTCGGATTTGTTCATTTTTTATCCCCATAGACCGTTGTTCTCGAGGAGCACTTGGAAGGTGAGGAAACGGTGATTTTCGAACAATATGTGCACCAGAATGGGTTTCTGGTCAAATTGGGTGAGTTTGTGATTATGATTTGTAAAAGCAATGCACGACAAGGTTCATTTGAACTGATAGCGTTATCCGTTTTCATTTATCACCACAAACATCGGATAGTAACCCTTTTTTCATTTCGTTAACAAAGGTATCCATGTCCATGTCCAACCACTATCCGTCTTCGACAGCCGTTGTCTGCGAAGCATCGCCCGCGTATTATGGGAGCATCGCTTGAGTAACGATGAGGTCAGATGACGTGTGTTATGGTCAAATAGTCTTCCAGTAAGCATCGTCTGAGGTGGATAGAACACTTCCTACGAATACCTAAACAACGTCTGCCGTACCGTGCGTTATTTGCGGATATTGGTTCGAACTGGAAGAAACAACGAGGTGGGCGGACTATAACGTGGTGTGTAGGGTTGAAGAGGTTGTGTTCGGATTTGGCTTTCGTTAGGGCCTGCAATGATCAAGCCAAGAGGTTGTCATTCCCACGATTGACTGTTTTGTTTTCTTGCATTGTTCCGTTTCTGTAATTTTCTTTCGACTCGTAGTTATTTGGGCGCCGTATATGTAAAAATTGGTGTTATGTTTATATATATTTGATAATAAGTGGTATGTGAATGACGGGACGAAATTTCCCTGGAAGCATACGACCGGTTTCGCGGTTCTTGCCGCTCGTCAGGCATGCGTATTCGGAAATCTTTTGTTAGTTCATTCATATACCCAGGAAGTGTTTTTTCGTCACAACAACCTTGTTCGCTATACCGGGTGAGCATTGGATTGACAGCAATCTCAGAACCAGTCCAATGAAGAATCAATGCTATGATTCTTACTTATTTTTAAATATTCTACCAAGACCGTCAGGTCACGTTTGTTGCGGTTAGTAGCATCNCTTATAATATATATATATATATATATATATATATAGTATTGTATTCAAGCTTTAACGAATTATATATACAAGCTTTCAGCCAAAAAAATATACCACCGTTACAATTCTGGTAAAAGCAGGGGAAAAAGTGGAATGTGAAAACGTACAAAGGTATGAATTAATTACCAAATGCATTAGAAAGCTCAGAGCGAACACTTTCCTTGTCGGTCAGTATCCGGGCAAGATAGGTTACCAAAGAGTTTCTGTATGCGGATATGCGAGACGGGATAAGGTTGTACTTGGAACGGGTACAGGGGTGGGATTTGCATGCACACAAGTCAGT